TATATATATATATATATATATATATATATATATATATATATACATATATACCTACCTTGTGTGTTCCAGAAATTAAGTATATTAAATCATTTATTTACGCGAATTACACATTTCACCGCCATTCGAACGTTCATATATGAAATACAAACAAAATAGCCAATAATTTATTCCTTTTTTACAAATTAGCCGAATTTTTCATTTTATTTTGAAAGATTGTTTTTATAATAATATAATATTCCTTATGAAAAAATACACTCAACTAAGTGTTGGCGATCCGAAATGATACTTAAATTATTAACTTCTACATAAACCTCCAATTTGAGGATTAACACTCAATTTGAATGTCATTTTGGACTACCATGCAAGCAATTCTCAAGTAGAACACAGAAGTCATGAGGACATCATCATGACCTCATTCATCATTTATAAGTCAATTTTTAGATATCAAATGACGTCATGGTGATGTTCTGTGATATAATTATGACTTAATTATGACTCCGTATTCTATCTGGGTTATAACGTTATAACGCCTAAGTTGGGTATATTTTTTAATAAAGGATCGTACTCTTAAATACAAACTGAAGATCATTATAATCACGTGTTTCGCACTTAATTGACACATATATTCTTACGATTTAATTAAATATCCGGATGATTATACCCGTTCCCGTCGAACGTAACGGTCGAGGTCGGGGCTCTTCTGGTTTCCCTCTTTTTTCGGCCATCGCGAGCGATATCTTTTTCATTCTTCATCACATCCGTCTCCTGGAGGAACAGTTCCGTGTCGCAACTATCATCGCTGCAACTGTCGTCGATATCACTGCACTCCTCGTCACACGTTGGCGCTTCTAGATTCTCATGAATCCAACGCAAACTCATTTTCTCGATTTCCCTTCTGCTGCATAAATTGATAAATTTACCCATTTCCATATCGTAACATTAAATATGTGGCTATCTAATTTATCAATTTATTTCGCTAACGCGAAATCTGCGTTTGTTGCATTGTCAAAAAGAATTGCACCTTAATACGTTATGTATGTGGATTTCTTAAAAGCATACATTTATGAGCTATTAAACCATATTTTTACCTATACTGCAAAAAACAATTCATAAAACTAAAACAACTACTTCTTACTATAAAATTGCATCTTTAAGTATTTTAAATTTTAAAACGAGAGCAATAATATTATATTTGAAAAAGCAGTTTCTTAATTATTTGATACGATATACATTAATATATATATTTTGTATTTGAAAACTATTATACATCAATTTATCAAATTGCATTTGATATTTTCGTCTAGAAGTTGTCTAATAGAAGTTGTCTAATTTTCTTTGCAGTTTTACCATATATGTTTTATTTTGCTGTTCAACTTTTTCGATTATAAGAATATTTTTATATTAAATAACATTCTATGATAAAATTTATATAAAATTTGTATTTTACTTTATCACTTTTATCTTAACTTTTTTTCATGAGGCTTTACAAATAGAATTTAAATATTACAATTATTATTTATGTCTTCTAGCTGCCAGGAAAATATCCAGATAACTCTGAGATCTTTCCTAAAACAGCATTATTATTCTTATATTTTATAGAGAAAGACGGTAAGATAAAATCTATTCACAAATGTTAAAAACACTCACACGTGCAAAACACTTCATTTGGGATAGAAATATGCACTATAATGTTCGACATTTAACGGTAGTCTCGATTTACCGTCAGCAGCCGTGATGGCTATCGAGAGTAGATATAATTGTGCATCAGGATGCATTTATGCACTTACCAATCTGATATTAAGCTAATTCAATAAAAACAGAGGCACGTCGCGCGAGTCAAGCACAACTAAATTTATAAGGCTATCATCCAGGCCTAACTTAAATTCTTCTTTGATATACCATATAATTAACAGCAGCATATATGTATACATTAATTATATACTTACAGCTGCCGTACGTTACATAGTATTTATGTTTATAAGAAGCACTAATGATAATATCTGAATTTGAATACATTACATTACATTATATTTTCACACGAATATACATACCTACATAC